TGGTGGCCCAGATACATAGATGACGTTGACCCCCCCGGCCCACACACACACAGCTGTAGCCACGACGATATGCGATGTCCTTTCCAGCCGATTTATTGGCCGGACAGCTGTGGTTCTCCAGGCTAACAAGCCGAGCTCGTATTGGGGCGTGGACAGTAAGCCAAAATGAACCTTTATTTGCCCAGAGCTAATACCCTCTGCGCTAATCCAAACTGCTCAGGCTCGCGAGTCCGAAATGTAATTAATTTACCAACGGCTATTAAGGAAAACAGAGTGAATGCCTGGTGGAATGAATACACCATTAAAATTAGCATTTCACCTGAACTGTTTGACTGGTTTTCCTTTTACGTGCGATGCTGAAATATTTGGTGTTTGAGCAGCATTTTATTAATGATTTAACGGTGACGTTGTTGATGGAATATCAAAGCAGTGCGTTTGCAGGATCCAGGTGACTTTCACAGCATGAGTAATTCTAAACCCAAAATTATAAAAAGCAGTAATGCAGGTTTTGCACTAGTCACAGGTGTGGGCCAAAGGGGTACTGGCCTCAGCTGACACCTTATTGGTCAACAGATTGCCCCCTCCCATGTCAATTGGCAATTTAAAACATACCATTGGCTAAATGTACAAATTATAGCCCCTATTGTGCCCCGCATGATAAAAAAAATCTTAAATTCAGCCCTGGCACTCGCAAGGACTGGCGAGAAGCACTGCCGTTCTATTTTACGGGTCGATTTTGTCTAGCGTGGCTTCTTGAAAACAAGTGCCCACGAGAACGGAGAAGCCAGCTCGCAATCAGGACCCCACCGAATGGAACCGCGCTCTTAATCCGCTCTCATTCATTAAAAGAGCGATTAGGCCGAGTGCGGAGATGGGGGCGAGCAATTGATGGATGCGGAGCAGCCCGCCGCAGGACAAACTCTCTGCGACGTAGCATGATGGTAATTGCTCTCGTTCGGGCGCCTCTTTTCTGAAGATGGTGACAGAAATTATATTAAAGTTTAATATGGATCCAGATATTTCAAGCTTAATTTGCTCCCACAGTCAGGTCCCGCGGTAAATGAGTGGCACTAACTGGGCCGTGGGAGAGGAGTGTGTGCTTAATGGTGGGCGTGGTTAATGATTAAAACTTAAAAATAACCTAGAAAAACGTGATAAATTTAGCATCAGGTTCACGTGTCATGTACACAATAGCCTTAATAAGCCATTTTCATTATTTTTTCAATGATCAGGGTGAAGTGATCCTTCCAGAATGATATTCTGACAGGTGTCACAGCTCGTTTTTTTCCCCATGACATCACCTCCACCCGTTATTAAACAACTAAAGCCTGACAGTGGCTGCTTGTAAGGCTGCTTGATAAAGCTGGAGCCGATCGATGCGTTATTACATCGCTTTTATTCAATATTTTGATTTTGGCACAGTGTCTATGAATTGCACACTTTAAAATTTTTATTTACTTCCTATTGCACTATTCGTTTAATTGTACTATTTCATCACTGCTGTTTGGGAATTAGCATATATGTTTTCCACTCATCTTTATTCTGGCAAATATCAAATGATGTGGCAAATAAAGTGATTTGATTTGAACTGAATGTTACCCTAGATAACCAAAACTCTCGATCGTGCGCGTGGTGTTATCTCATACAGATTTCTTTCCCGAGTTTGTTTGACAGAAACGGATAAAATACCAAGCACCCCGAGTTAAATCGTGGCTTGATTTGGAAACCCGGCCACTGGTCAGCTTTTTACTTCGTTCCCCGGAGAGCACACGCGGTGTCAGGCTTGAATCACCGGCGTGGCGAGATTGACGGTCGTCAACCAACGATGCCGGGCGATCGTGGCAGTAAATCCGGGCTTGGCAGGGCTCGGTCATGCAGGGACGAGCTCATTGCCGGGGTGACGGCTACGTGAGACTGTGTCTGTCACGCCTCAGATTGACAGCCTCGTCACCACATAAACTCTGTCGGGGAGCGCTGTCTCAGTGTCAAGGCGCTCACTATTTACAGTGTTAATGTCAAAGTGCCAGAGCGTTTCGAATACAAACATACAGCACACACACATCTGCACTCAAACAGACCTGCACACATAATATTTTGCGATATTCTGAAGTATCCAGAAGGTTATCCTTTGCTCAGTAGGTCTACGTCTTCTTTAAGTTCACATTTCAAGGTCTGTCACACACAAACATAGACTGCAAATCGAAATGCAAAGAAAGACAATTTAATCTAAAAATATCAGGATAAATAAGATTTAAAATAGAAATAAAACATCTGTAAAATAAGACAACGAATAGCCAGGATATCAGTAGTGCAAAGATGTGTACTGAAGGTGTGGGATGGTGTAAAGTATGAATTATGCCTATAGTTGCACCTTGCAGTATATATGCACTATACTAGTACACACACACACACACACACACACGTTGGTGTACCTATCTAAATGGGGACCATCCATTCATTTCTATGGGATAAACCCTAATCCCAATCACGACACCCTTAACCTCTACCCATCCCTAACCTCAACCATAAGTAACCAATCCAAATACAAGACTCTTTTACTTTTTTGATTGCATTCACAGATTTTTGTTTTTATAAAACTGGGGTTATTCAAATGGGGACCTCAAAAGATGTCCCCGAAAGTAGGGAAATTTCAGGTTTTACTACACTTTGGGGACAATTTGGTCCCCACAACCCCCACCCCCCGATCTATAGCCCTTCTATTTTAAGGTGCATGCACCAATATGTGTTTATATATTTATATACAGCGTCTTAGTCTATTTGTCTATAATTACTCTGTCTAATCGTGTATCTGTCGTTTCTGATGTGTTATTGGTCACAGTCTGAACGCGGGCTTTTTGGGGGGCGTCTCGTTACATCATATTAACTGCACACGCCCGCTTCCATCTTTATTGAATTCTAGTAGAAACTGAAGGGAAAAAATTTAAAACATCTTATTCGCAAGAATATGATCTTGGCCCCAAAACATCGGAAAAAGAAAGAGGGAGTTGAAATTTGCATTTAGATTACTATTTTAATAGAAAAGTGTGACCATGAATCTGGTTCAGCAAAAAAAGACCGACGTGGGCGTCATTTCTGAAGGAGAAATATACAAGTTAAACGCCTGGAGAGAATCAGCATTAAAACATTTTTGGGCTGATTGTTACAACAATGCTGACTCTGTGAAGGGGGGTAAACGCTCTCATTCTCAACATGAAAACGCCCCTCACCCCTAATTAAGGACATGATGTAGGCAGCGCACATAAGAGAAAACCGGTGTAATTAAGCGGACCGAGATGTGTACCGCAAATTAAGTATGAAGCTGGCTGCTGTAATTATAAATGGCTACACACACTTACTCCGGGCGTACTATGAAGACAGACACCCTCCTCACTGAATTTATTTGTATTCCTTAATAATAATAATAATAATAATAATAATAATAATAATAATAATAATAATAATAATAATAATAATAAACTTTAACTACACGTGGTAATGGCAGAATCCACACGGATGGACAGTGAATCGTCAGAAATGTATGTAGTCCTATGAGTTAATTGCAGGAACGATAATTGTTTTTTATTGTCATGCAGGTCCATTAATAAATCATGATAATAAGGTCGCTCGTCAGTGCATAATTTTCACATAGGTTACAAAAAGTTAGTGTTGTTATCGAGCTGTTCCCAACAGTTTTTCCAAAAGCTTGACCATGAATTAACAAGAACAGCATCATGGTATATCAACGGTCAATCTAGAACTTCAGCGCTTGACTGAGTCGGGAGGACCATGTGGATTATAAGTATTGGAGTTTGTGTAACCAAGTTATTTGGGATTTCTGGATCAGGTTGACAAATGATGCATAAACTATGTTAAACGGCGTGATTAAAACCCCGGCAGGTGGTTAAAGACCTACCGGCACCTCACTGGGTCTGTCGTTCGCGTTCTGGGAAACTCCCCCCGCCCATCTTCCGCGCACCCCGCTAGCAAGCACTAAAACACAGGCTGCTCCGCCGTATGGGAATCGGCACCGCTTCCATAGTGAACCTGGGTAAGGTGGGCGGGGACTGACGGCTCCGAATATCTCCACCTGCTAGGCGCTTGGAAAGCTGGTCTATCTCCCATCGCGACGGGCAAATGCATTTTATATTAATTACTAAAAAATCTAAAGGCTCCTGTCTCTGATCTCAGCATGGAGCCGACGCAAACGCCTGCCTGCTCATACGGGTCTTGTGCTTAACCCGGCGGCAGTAACGCATATACAAGACCGGCCGGCAGGTCGTTCCCAGCCGAAAGCTACAAGGATTCCCAAACCCCGGAATGACGTCATTAATCGCGTCTAAAATTACCCGTCTAACTGGTCGCTTGTGCAAGCGGCTTGTTGTTTTTGGAACTTCTAAAACAGGGTTGCTCCTTGGGAGATGAAGGGCCTGCAATTTTTTTTCCTAGGATGTTTGTTTGTTTGTTTGGTACCTACTGCTCCTGGCAGTGGCGGGGGTCTATTTTGGAAGAATAAAAACAAAAGAAAAATTGGTTTTCCATCATCACCAGGGGAAATGCTGAAGGAAACGAAACTGGTATCCCGGTAAGGGTGTTGATTGGGGTCTGGATGCATGTTCTGGGGATGAAGAAGTGAATGAGAGGACTACTCACAGGGGCAGGGCCACAAGGGCACTGGGCCTAGCTGAAAGCTGATTGGTCATCGCAGTGCCCCTCGCCTGTCACTCACTGATTCAAAACCTTACACATTGCCTAATGAAGGTTGGCCCCTCTGTATAAATTATGCCTCCCTTACACCCCCCTGCCTTCCTGGAATCACCCCAGGCTATTCACCTGACATCATCGTGGAAGCCCAGCTCCAGCTCCATGCAACCAGGATGGTGTGTGACGACCTCTCTCTATCTGACACAGGAGCCAAACAGAATACAATAATGAAACACTCAGCAGTGCTATGCAGGCTTCAGAGGTTTGGAGAAACCCTTACGTGTCTCCCTTCCGCACAGAACGCAGGCCTGCTGCAGAACGCTTCCCGAAATGCTTCGACCAACTTGACATGTGACGTGGCCAGACATCAACAGGAGAAATCCACTGTCAGCTTTTCGAGATTCACCACCCGCTGAGTTTTGAGGCTGCGTGATCTAGAAGAGGGCCTTCCGAGCTGCCGGGTATGTACCGCGTCTCATTCCGTGTTCTTACGCCTTTGTGTTATGGGGTGACAATTTGGTATCTCCTTGTTGTAGAGAGCCTCAGACAATGATGTTTTTGCTGACTTCATTAACTTCAGATTAGATTCAAGTCCAAAAACTTGGACAGCTAAATGCAGTTTTGGCATCTAATTCAAAAGTACAAAACTGTGCAAAAGTGCCGGAAGAAGCTGTACAATATATACATGTATGATAAATAAATAGTTAGAAAATTGTACATCTACATATATAGACGCTCCTCTACTTACGAACTTTCAACTTATGAACTTTCAGACATACGAACGAAGAAGACTGTAAGTCCAAATTGTGTTCATTGGGTTCCTGTTTCCAGTTCGCAACATCAATTTTTTTTTCTGTGCACCAATTCTGGGTAGTACGACTTCTGGTGGCTACTCCCGCCGCGCAGCAGCGCAGTGTGTATACTCCCAGCATCCTAGTTATTTGTACTTGCATATACCCTTCAAATGATGTTAAATAACGACTCACAAACATTTCAGGTTACGAACGGCCTAAGTAGAGGAGCGTCTATACATGGTATTTATGGTGTAGTATGAATAATAAAATAATTTGTGTGTGTGTGGTCCATGTATACATTACATGTATTTTGAAATTTTGGGGACCATTTTTTTCAGTCCCCACAAGGTGAAATTCAATTTTATAGAAATCTGTGACTGCAGTCAAAAAACTAAAAATGCCAAAAGTCTTTTGTTTGGTTACTAATGGTTAAGGTTAGGGCTCGGTAGCGGTTAAGGTTGTCACTGTTGGGATCAGGGTATTGGCCATAGAAAGGAATGGAGAGTCTCGACAAAGATATGAGTACAGATCTGTGTGTGTATGTGTGTGTGTGTGTGTGTGTGTGTGTGTCTGTTAATTGCACTGACCTGTGACTGGCTTTTGAGAGATGCTGTTGTCGTACCGACTCGTAAATGTGCTGCGGACGATAGTGAATGACCAGGACAGCACAGAGGCCGAGCCCCTCGCATACGCACGGACCAATCACGCGGAGACGTGTCATCAACCATGAGGCCACCATCTGTACATGTGAAACCTGAGTGCGGGGGTCACGCAAGCTTCAAGGCCTTCGTGTTTAGTGGCGTCTAATTAAGCGCAGGCGAAGTAAACAGACCCAGCGTCTGTCATGTGATGCTGGTTAACTTAATAGGTCAAGGTAATTACAGGAAGTTCACGCTGATACTGGGGAGAACCTTCAAAGGCATTTTGAGGCAGAGGGCTGTCATAACAAGGAGTAGTTGTCGGGTTTGCTGTTCCTGCCCCCCCTTTCAAAAATTAGATAAACACCTAAATAAGTACAGTCAGGAGTGTAGCTTTTTAACTGTTTAACAGAACACAGTGTTTCAGCATTTCCTAAGTAAGGAACCCTGAAACGAGTTTGGATACTTTGTCAGTAACCTTCATCATTGCATCATACTTCCAGCAAATGCACCCCCCCCCCACCCTCCCAGTGGGCCGCCACACAAATGTGTGATTTGAATGGTGGCTGAACATCATATAAAAAGGGCAAACACAGAATGTCGGACTGTAAAATGAAATGATTGACCACCGGTCTGAAACGGGACATCGTTTTCCTCTGTAGCATTGTTTTTGGATAGCGCATGGCAGGACACACGCCCAGAAATTATGGGATGGCACGCGGCCCGCGCCCCCTAATGACACGATTTGTAGCGAGTCTTATCACATTCATTATCAGTCGCATCCAGACCCCCACGCATTACGGACCGAGGAAATATGGCAATCGATTTCCCCTATTATGCTACAGACACCATTAATCAGTTTGGCTGCAGTGGAGGGGAAGAGCTTCAGGGAACAGCTTGGAGACCAGATGCGCAAAGCTTAAAGAGCCGGGCAAATGTTTGGCTTTTGTACCTCTGAGCAAACGGCATCACAACTATATCAAAATAAGTTTAGGTCACTTTGGGAAGCGTGTACCGAAACCGTCACTCTGGCACTGGCGTGATTTTAGTATATAGACAGAAATGACCCAAAAAATTGTGATTTGGCCTTTCCTGCGTTGGCTGTTCCCATTGGCTCAACGATCTGCCAGCGGCCTTTGGAAATCGTCAAACCGGCGTGTGTGATCCATCAGGCGGATTCAGCGTGTAAATGTAAACTCACTTCGGTCGTATATGTTTACCGCGTGCCGTTTTAGCTGGTCCGGGAATAATTTTCCAGTACATTTTCTCGCTCAAATGATTTTTCGAGTGCATTTATTTTTTGAAATCCCTCTGCTGATTCATTTTTTTTTTTCGTGATAAACAGCTCATAGAACGTGTTATAGCTAGTGACATTAACTTTATATGGTGGGGGAATTATATAGCAGCTTATTGAGTCGGTATCTCACTGGGGGGTTCAGGGGGAACGTTGGCTGTAGGTCCGCGGTGTTGGCTGACGCCTACAAACCGTCACCTTCATTGTCTCTCTCCGCACTGCTGCGTTTTTAATCGCACTGTACCCCCTACGGCCAAACTGTGCTTCTTAGACATGCTTCATTGAATGGGTATGCCTCTTTCAATGAATAAATAACACAATAAAAGTAAAGGAAACACAGAAACGTTAGCTAGGGGGATGTTTTAAACTCTTAATCCTCTGAAACGTTTTCTGTTAGTTTTAGACTAGTCCCCCACCCCGAATTGCTCCACGCAAAAGCCCAGATTTGAATGTCCTACAGAGACACTCAACGCTATGGCACCAGAAACCAAGAAAAACAGGTCCCCCTCAATGGCATTGCAGAGCTGCGTTTGCAAAGGCTCATGGGAGATGGAGTTTTGGCTAATGATGCGTTTCGAGTGCTGCCTGTGACTGTCTGAGTCACGCTAGAGCAGCAGATCTTGATTTCATTTGCGCTAATAAGTGTTTTTGAGTTGGGGACGGTTGCAGAGAATGTGTAAATTTTAAATTGGGTCCTCGCTGAATAATCCAGGCTTGTTCTGGAACTGTTGTTCCTCCCTTTACAGGAAAACTGACACGGAAGCCCCAAGACAGACATAACCAATCGCTGTCACACTTATTAGGAGATAAGGGTATCCGGTGAGACGCAGCAGTGTGAGGGATGATGATAATGATGTCATAGCTGTGTATGGGTGTGGCTTCCAGATGCAAACAGCCAATCCCATGGGTGTCTGAATCCAGAATGGCTCACGGTTTGGCGAGGTGATGATGTGGTCTCATGTCGAGACCACAGCAGGCTGAGCAGTCGACATGACAACCACGATATGTTAGTTAATTTGTGATGAGTTCCGTCCCACCCCCCATTTTCTCAGCCCCCTCCCACACTGCCAGATATTCATTAATTTTCATCACTCATCCCAGGATGAAGAGTGGAGCTCCCTGAAAGGCAGGGATGGCTGTGGAATCCACTGGGTGGGCAGGGTGGGCCGGCAGGGTGGATAAAGTCCCCAGATGTCCAAACAGCAGGATCGTGAAGTGCTGAATATGCCCAGTTAGTTCTCCTGCTGTCCGTCACTGGAAGCGCCCGCTATCTGGATTTAACCGGCTGCAGTAGGCCGCCGCCTGAATCTTCCTGGGACACATAATAGCCTGGAAAAAATCACTCGGACCTTTGAAGTTTTCCAGGGCGGCGGGAAACAGTTCCCGTTAATCAAAATCTCCCGTCTGAACACAGACACCCCTTCCCCCGCCCAGTGCAAACCGACTTAGCACACTTTGCACATTTTGCCTTCGGCCATAGTTGGTGCGTCTAGGAGTGTGCGTCTGGTGTGCTCAGCGAGAGTTCATCCTCACATTAGTAGCCTACTGGAAACTGCTGCATAGGGGGCTTTGCGGGGGGATTTCTCCGAAGGCCCGCTCGCGGGAGGGGCTGCTGGGTACACCTCCCCCTAAAACAGGCTTCCGTCTCCCTCCATCTTTGATGGCGGTTTTAGCGCTAAACGCAGCATGTGAGAGGTTAAAAGCATGAAGATAGACGAGGTCAGCCTGAGTGGCCCTCGCTGAGTCACATGATCAACTGAGTCACACGATCAGGGGGAATCCATTTTCTTGTACTGGGAGTACCACATTGATTTGGCTTGTTCCTCTCGCTTCAAAATCAAAGTTTAATCAAACAGGGCTCTAAATTTTAATCAACCACCTGTCGACTATATTGATCAAGTCAGTGTAACAGTTCGGACACAGTCACGTGACCCCGGTACACGACTTTCTGCAGATTAGGTCACACTGCACCGTGCTACCAGAGTCACATGGGCTGGGTGAATCCTGCTCCCCTGCCCTGGTGTCTGTGCTCCAGAGGTGGACATTTCAGGTGCAGAAAGCAAGAATCCAAACCAGGATTTTGTTTCAACCATCCAGTTGAGCACTCTGTGATTGTGACTCTTTATATTCAACTGGTTGGTGTTTTCACCTGTGTTTTCACGTACTGTGTTTTTACCCCGTTCTCCTCCTGGTAGCAGAATGAATTGCTGAAATTCCCAGGGAGCATGAAATGGGAGTGGGGGGTCTCAATGAACAAGACGTGAGGACAAGTGATGCATAGTTTCTGAACTTAATTATTTAATTAATTGCCAAGGGGGGTTGGGGGCTTGGACCCTCAGAGGTTTTTTTTCCCCCTACTTTGGAGTTTTCGGTTGCTCTCCTCCGTTGTCTTCTGGCTTTCTTTGTTCAATTTCTTTCCTTCCTTTTTCCCGTTCTGTATCTCTCTCTAATTATGTTTTATGTATCACAACACATCCATGTAAAGCGCTTTGGGACAACTTTGTTGTGAAAGGTGTTATATAAAAAATAAATGTATTGTAATGTATTGTAATTTCTAATTAGTTAATTGTCCCATTTATTGACATCACTGTCAGTGAAGTAATCTGAAGTCCTGGGTAAATGAAGCTGTGCTCTGCATCACTCTGACCCTGAATGCTGTTTCTACTCTAAATTTATTTACTCTCTGTCTCGGCAAACATCTTTGTGGTGAAATTAGGGCTGCGATGGCCCCCTTT